AGACTATGCAGTGATCGCGGGATTGATATTGCGAGTTTCAGGCCACAGTTTCCACCACCTTCACCACCTGCTGAGCAGGATGAGCCTTCCATACCAGCAGATCATGATGCCGATGCCGCTATGGACGACTGCTGATTATTTTGCATTGCATCGCCTAACACTCACTTCACCATTATATTCACTTTAGCATTTTATTTTGCTGTTCTGAGTATTTTGGTTGGATTTTATGGCTGGATTATTTCTTCTTTATTCAGTACACTTTGATGATTATTTTGTTTTACTGTTTAACAAGTGTGTGTGTGTTCCACCTGGAAGAATTAGCTTCTTCGACTAGTATAGTTTGTTGCTGAGGACAGCAATGTTCTAAATATGGGAATTGGCCACATGCTGCTGTATGCGAGACCTGCTAACTGCGGAACTACACAGAAAGGACGTCTAACAAATATTTTTTTGAAAAAGAGGAGATATTTTAACCTTCAATTTTTTAATTTTTGCTGTTTTAATTTAATTAATTTGATTCAATTTTTCATATTTTTAGAAAAAAAAATTGAAAAAAATCCAAAAATAGTGAATTCCTGAACAAGCGTTCTTAGATTTTGCAAAGCTCACTCAGGAAGTAATTAGATTGAATTATAAGAAGCATGATATCTGTGGAGCATTCAATTGTTTTTATAATCTGAGAATGATGACTGCTCGTTTGTATAATTGTTTTGATTAAAATTCTTAGATAATGCTTGATGTGAAATTTTGAAATTAGATTCTAATTTGAATCACAGCTGTGAGGATTTGAGCCTAAACAAAAAATAAATTAGAGAGGCCTCACTGTAGTAGTTTTCTAGAACTTGAATTGTTTCTCTAGCTTGCAGGCATTACTGATATGATAAGGGCACATTTATTCTTGTTAACTTAGAGCCAAATAGCCTACCTAGAAAGAATTTCCATTGTTAGCCCTTTTGAGCCTTAGACCAATTCATTCAAAAACCTGATGAAAGTTACTTAACCATGTTCCATTGACACACCTTGAAAGAGATTGAAATGTTGATCAAAGGAAAAAGTCAAGGTACTTCTCAAAAGAAAAAGTTAAGTAAGTTGAAAAAGGAAACAGAAAAATGGTCTGCAAAAATACTGCAAAAATTCTGAAAAAGAAATGCAGCTCAAAAGAGAAAAGAAGGAAAACATCTGCAAACAAGGAAAGAAAAGAAAAAGGTAGTGAAAAAGGGAAAAGAATCCCAAATTGATGAAATGTGGCAGAATTAAAAGACTGAGAAGGAAATAATGTCAAATATCTCAGGATTTCAGTCTCTCAAATTAATCAGCCTCTGACCAAAAGATTCTTACCCCTAAACCAGGCCAAGTTATAACTTATCAAAGACCTTTTGATCAGTCTATGCATGTCAAATGGATTCCTCAATCTTAGGAATTGAGAATATGTTCAAGCTTATGGAATTACTGCTACACTGATGGAATGAGTGTGAACTCGTCAAACACTAAGAGCAATGAGAGTATATTTATCTGGTGAGAAATATTCAAGTTAGGATCTGATTTCTTGATACAACTGAAAAACATTGTTTGAAGTTTTAATAGGAAGCTACACATGCATAACAGTCTGATTTCTTAAGATGTTCATGTTCCATGTTTTTCTTCACAGAGCTAATCTTTGCCTCTGACTTTCATCTATTACATTGCTGAGGACAACAACGTTCAAATTTGGGAATTGTTTGATATGCATCCAGCATATGGGTAAATCCAAGCCAAAAAGAGAAAGAATATTGGTTAATCTTAAGTAAAAAAGGCAATATTTACTGTTGATCTGTTAAAATCCCATCAGAGATTGTGCAACTGATTTTATGCTGATTTCGTAGGAAAAACAGACAAACTGGAGCTCAATGGGAAAATACCAAACTGAAGACCCACGCTGATAGCGTGGGTGTGGCGCTGACAGCTTGGAGGAGCCTTTTCATACAGATACATCCACGCTACTAGCGTGGAATTCACGCTAGTAGTGCCAGAATTTAAAATCATCCCGAGATATCCACGCTACTAGCGTGGCACTCACGCTAGTAGCGTGGCACTCACGCTAGTAGCGTGGCACTCACGCTAGTAGCGCTATACTTTCCTGCAACCCACGCTAGTTGCGTGGAACTCCAGTATTGTGAACAAAACTCCCACGCTAGTAGCGTGGGAGGTGCGGACAAATCAGCAGTAAATCTTGTTTTAAATCAGAGAAAAGATCACATTGAGATTTACGACGAAGATTTAATCAAGATATCTGAGCAAGACACAAAGCCTATAAATAGAGGCTTAGACTTCCAGAAACAATCATTTTTGGCTGGAGCAAATTGTGAGGATCAGAGAATTGAGAGAATTCTTGGAGACTCGAGTTGAAGATCAGGATTCCACTGAAGTTGAAGGCTGAAGACATTGAGTTTTTATTCTTCTTCTTCTTTTCTTCTTAGTTTATGAACAATTTTCATTTTTTTTATTTTTTTAAGTCAGACATGAACATGTCTGGCTAATTTCTTTATGTAGTTGGGATCACGGACCCGATGTGAATCCTTTTATATTTTATGTATTAATATTTTATAATTTAATTAGTTAGTTGTTTTATTCTACCTGGTTTAATTTTTCCATATCCTGTTTAGAATAGGCCACTCTAAATTATAGGGCTTTGAGGGTTAAAATTCACAATAGACATATTGGGGTTTTAATCTGGACAGGGGTAGAATAACAATTTGTGTATGATCTAGACATAGGCTTACATAAATTGCAGACTCATAATTCATTTGCTTAATGCTTAATTCAAGAAGAATCAGTAAGACATTAGGGTTCTAATTGGGTTAAAGAGTTGAAATCACTAAGACATTAGGGTTCAACTATTTTATAGGAAAATAATGAATTGTCTGAACAAACGAATTAATTAATTATAAAATACAATATAGGAATATAAGGGAGGATCAGAGGTGAAGTGTATCCTGACTACAATTTTCTTATGAATTTTTCATCAATCTTTTCTCGCGTTCTTAATCTTTTCTTGCATGCGTTCAAAGTCCACTGTTAATTAAATTCTGTTTTTAAATTTAATTGTTTTAATTTCTGTTTTGGATTTTCCAAACTCAATTATTTCACAATACAAACAAATTTTCTGTTCCAACTCAAGGGGAATAATTAGACTAGTACTTGGTGCCTCAATTCTCATGGGAACGATACTTTTCTTATCACTTTATTACTTGGAACGATAAGTATACTTGCCGAGTTCATAACACCGAGCTTTGATCTTAAAAGGCCAAGCCTGTGTTTGAATGTGTCAGCCTGATCAAGCATGTTATCTGTTATAAATATAACTATCGGCATGTGGCCTAACTTATTTACAAAAAAATAAAAGCCTTATTTAGCCTGTTAGCCTGTTTTTAAAAAATAAGACAACACAAATTTATCCAAATAGAATATACAATCAACAACATTAATAATTTCATAAATATTCATAAACTCAATTTATATGCAAACAACATAATATAGAATAAAATCATTCAAAAAGTTTGTTTAACCAATAAAATGGAGTGAAATGCATTGAGAAGAAATAGAGGGCTATTATAAGTAGTATAAAAAATATAAAATATAAATAAAAAATAATATACTAGGTCAGCCTGAGAGGCTTTAAGGCCGAACTTTTAAATTGCAGTCTGAAGTCTTTTTATTAAACGAGTTTTTATATAAGTCCAAGCCTGGTGCCAATAACCAATTTTAGACATGAAAATTCAGGCTTTCACAATTCGAATCAAAGGTCCCTGATTTGTTTAGCGGCTCTAATTTTCTCTTTCATTGTTTTGCCTTTGTGGGAGAGAATATATTTTCTACCAGAAATGATATTGCCTTGTTATAAATATAGTTAATTAAGAGGGCGAGCGGGATACTGTTATTCATTTATGACTAAAATATTAGGGGCTCAAATGGGAAATGGCCACCAAAATAACTATCACAATAGTCAAAGGACAACGTGCCGAACCAACTTTGCAAACAACAACCTGCTACGCTGACCAGTCAATTGTTCAGATATCCACGTTTAAATACCAGTGATTTCTTGGAGCGCCAAATGGATCTGTGATGAGCCAATTGGAAACCATTGAAAAAGAAAAACCAGTTATTCATACGTATAGTTTATTACAATTGATTCTCGTTTAATTTTTATATAGATGGATTGAGAGTAGGTCGTCTCATGTTTAAAAAGATGGTCATATAAGTAATTATAATCATATAAAAATGAATCAATAATGATAAAAGAGAAAAAAAAAAAAATATTAAAATATATAGTTACTAAATTATAAATATTAATTTACTTTTATATAATTATGATTGTTCTAAATGATCCAATTATATATTTTTTTAAACATGTATTTTCAGTTAGATTATACGTATACTTCATTTAAATTGGTTCTCGTTAAATCTTACGTATTTTGATTCTTGTTTTCCGTTGACGCATCACGCATTTATGCTGAGACGTTCAAAAGTCAACAACAAGCAATTTTGAAAGGAGATTAAATAAAAGAAGAAAATATTGAAGATGCGTGTTTTAATTCTACCGGCAGCCCAAAAGTCTTGCAACCTGTAGTCAACTAAGAAATGAGAAATATTTATCTTTTTAAATGACACAACTTATATCATTTCACTCTCACAAAGAGGTGGAACTCATACCTTTATTTTTTTTGTCAACTTTCTCTCCACCTTTATCTATCTATTTCTTTTTTTCAGAATGACACAACTTTACGTCTTTTAAGATGATACACACTTTACCATTTACCAAATTTAAAAAAAAAAAAAGGTGTGTTATAAAAAATATAAAAAGGGTATGTTACAAAAAAAAAGGGTGATGCTCACCAAAAAACCAATTTTTTTTTTTTAAAAAAAAACGGAACATCAAATGCTAAAATAATAAGTACTGACATATATGTGGGGGAGAGGGTGTGTTTTCTCTACTTTGCTAACCTCAACAGAGTCAGAGAGAAATGGAAGAAGTAGCATGGGCCACCACTGCATGCATGGTTGTTACGGTGATACTGACTCTGATAGGGGTATGGAAGATGCTGAACAGGTTGTGGCTGAGACCAAAGAAGCTGGAGATGCTGTTAAGAAAGCAAGGTCTTCGGGGCAGCCCATACAGGTTTTTGGTTGGGGATATAAAGGAAATGTTGAAGATGGGAAAGGAAGCCCAATCCAAACCCATGACTCTCTCTGATGATATAGTGCCGCGTGTAGTGTCATTTATACATCAAAAAATCAACAAACATGGTATGTATGGCTTTAAATATGCTTAGCACTCTTATATGCTAATTTTCTTATATTTCCTATTTGTGTATTTGCCAATATGTGTTTTTTTTTTATTATTATTATTTATTATTTGGGTATCAAACATAGAGTAAGTTGGATTTTGGAGTATGACAGTTGAAACGCTCAATCCCTTTCGATGAATAACGGATCTGACCCAAAGGTTTCCCTAGTTTTGACCTTTGAGCAATCGTCCGTGCCTGATTTGACAAGAGAATCGATTCAATCTCTTTGCTCTGATTTCTGGTCTACCATTTGATCCATTGTCTAACAATTTTGTTACCACCCTTCTCCATAGAAAATGGTTAGCCACTTCTTGAGAACACAGGATTTTAAAAAGATAAAATAAAATAAAAATACACAGTTGGACCTTATCACGTATAGCATTTCGTTTATGATATGGTTTTTTTTTTTTTTTTTTTTTTTTTTTTTTTTAAATATTATCGATTGGTTTATCAATTACTCGAATAGTCCCATTTAAGTCAATCACATGCCTAAGCTGGAATAATATTATCTACATGCCTGGTGGTCTCTAGAGTATTGCCTTTAATCTCAATTTTAATTCTCTATAGAATATGCAAGCTGTAATTATAATGTTACTTTTTCAAACTGTATCTTTATTCATTATTTGTTATTAAGTCATGTAACAAACATTGAATTGACTCGCATGGAAAGCGTACATTCTTAGCAGATCCTTAATTTTTTTTTTATATATTTTGTTATTAGTAAGCATTTTTATGAAGTTTGGTGACACCTTCGTATGCAGGCAAGAACACTTTTATCTGGTTTGGACCAACACCCAGGGTGATAATCACAGATCCTGAGCTCGTGAAAGATGTATTTTTCGGTTACCATGACTACCGAAAGGTTAGTATAAATCCTCTTGTCAGCAAGTTAATAGCTACTGGTCTTCTAAGTCATGAGGGTGAGAAGTGGCTCAAACACAGAAGGATTATCAACCCCGCATTCAATTTAGCAAAATTGAAGGTCACTCTCCTTTTATCTCTTTAGCTTTAGTGATGTAAGATTAACCTGTGTATGCTTTAAAATATTTTAGAAAAACCATTTTTTTTTTCTTTCTTTCCTTTTTTTTTATTTCTTTTTTTTTCTCTCACAATCTTTCTTTTCTTATTTAATTTTTTTATCTCTCTGTTTTTTGTTTTTATTTATTTATTTATTTATTTATTTTTCTTTTTTTAACTTTCTTTTTTTTCTTTTTTTAATCTTATTTTCATTTTATTTTTCCTTTTAATTTTTTATTACTTTTTTTAATGGATAGTGTTACAGGAAAGGTTATATTTACAAACTTTTTGTTTATAAACTACATTATGTCTGACCGGTAATACTCTAGTGTATTACCGGTGTAGTTTGTAAGTTTGTAAAAAAAAAAATTGTCAATATAACCCTACTCTGATATTGTATTTTTTTATTTTTATTTTTTTACTTTTCATTTGAATTTATCTGCCACCAATTTTAACTGGTTTGAGATAAATGTCTTGTTGATTTTAGAAAAATAATTTGGAACTCAATTGCAAATGCTTTTGCTTATAAGGAAAAATTATTTCCCTTAGAAAAACATTCTTTTAAGTACTTGGAGTGCTTTTGTGCTTTTGTGCTTTACGAGCAAAAATACTTTACAGCCACACAGCAATTTGATAAGAAACATGCTCAGAATGTTAATGTGCTTACTTTGATACAGCGAATTTTAACTTGTAGTTATTTCCATATTCCATTTCAGGTTATGTTACCAGCAATCTTTAAAAGTTGCTATGATATGATTAGCAAATGGGAGGACATGTTGTCTTCAGATGGATCGTGTGAAATGGATGTTTGGCCTTCCCTGCAGAATTTGGCTAGTGATGTTATTGCTCAAACAGCATTTGGAAGTAATTATGAAGATGGAAGAAGAATATTTCAACTTCAAAAAGAGCAAGCTGAACTTACAATGAAAATTATAATGAAAATTTTCATCCCTGGATGGAGGTAGGACTATTCTGTATATGAGATCACACATGATGAATTAATTAAACAGAATCTAACTTATTAAATTAATTTAATTTAATTGAAGCAAGTTTGCCTTAAATTTCATACTAGAGACCATTAGGAGACAACATTTATCATTAAGAATCTAAAATAATTGTTTTACTCGATGTCCACTTTACCAAATATAATGCCGAATCTCAATTGCAACTTCCAATATCAAAGTTCTAGCTATTATAAAAACCATGTTAGGTATTGACAAAACAATCACTCAATGTCTAGTTGATATTGGAAGGAACACTTCCTATGGGACAGTTCCTTCATGTCATAATTATTTCCATGACTGATTGTTTTTTCACAGGTTTCTACCTACTAGTACCCGTAGGAGGATGAAGGAAATTGACACAGAAATAGTAGCTTTACTGAAGGCTATGATTAACAAGCGAGAGAATGCACTGAAGGAGGGTGAAGCCACTAAGAATGATTTATTGGGTCAGCTTTTGGAATCAAATCGGACAGAAATTCAAAAGCATGGAAACAATAAGAATATGGGTATGACACTTCAAGATGTAATCGAGGAATGCAAGCTATTCTACTTTGCAGGGTCGGAGAGTACTTCGGCTTTGCTTGTTTGGACTATGGTGTTAATGAGTAGATACCTTGATTGGCAAGAACGTGCAAGGGAGGAAGTGCTACAAGTCTTCGGCAAACAAAAACCAGATTTTGATGGACTAAGTCACCTTAAGATTGTAAGTATGTGATTGTTCTCTTTAGAGACGTGCATGAGTCGAACCGAACCGGTTTTTCAAAAAAACCGAACTGATTTTTTTGAAAAAACCGAACCGAATTGGTTTAAATGGTTCGGCTCGAAAGTGGTTCGGTTCGGTTCAAAACGGGTTCGGTTCGGAACTGGTTCGGTTCGGTTCGGAACCGGTTCGGGTCGACCCTCTTTTGAAAAGAAAAAAAAAATTAAAAATTTAAAAAATAAAGTTATAAAAATTAATTTGGTTCGTTTTGAAAATGGTTCGGTTCGGTTCTTAAACCGGTTCTAAAAACCGGTTCGGTTCATGAACTGGTTTTTAAAAACTGGTTATTTTATGGGGCGGTTTGGTTCGGTTCATGGTTTGGCCCAATTTTTTGGTTATTTTGCACACTCCTAGTTCTCTTGATGATGAATAATATACGATAGTTGGTTCTGTTGGGAATGGAACGAGGGAGCCCAAAACCCTTTGCAAAGGGTACATCCACCAATGGACCAAATGACAAACCATAATAAGCGGGCCGACACCACATCTTAACCCAAAACCTTAAGGCCGTAGGTTTATGGGTCTTTCACACTTATATGGTCATCACTTGGTCTATGTCTAGTCTATGTGGTACTTCTTTACAACTCATACTTGATTATTTCCAACATCCTCCCTCAAGTGTGAGGCCCAATATCATTCTTACCCTAAGGGCAACTTCTGCGGAAGTCCTTTTTTTTTTCTCTTTCAAATATTAGGGTCACACTAGCCTTCTGCAGAGGCCTTCCAAACACTTGGCCCAGATCGTTGGCTCTGATACCACTGTTGGGAAATTCATTCCCCTGAACCCGCTTGACATTGGAGTTTGAGGGAATGAATTTCTCAACAGGTTCTTATTACAAAGAACCAATTCAACCTAAAACCTTAAGGTATTGAGAGAGGATTTTTTTAAATAATTTATATTATTTTCTAACATGCAAGAACCTTATGAGCTTGAAACATGGATAGTGCATAGGCCCAATTTTTTTTGTCGGTTTACCTTATGCTTATTTAATTCCACGAGTGAGAGGCGGTGAGGATCGAATTCGTGACCTTAGTCACTGAAACTTTGATACATATAAAGAACCAATTCAATTCAAAACCTTAAGTTATTGAGTAATGATTTTTGTAATGGTTTATATTATTCTCAACACTTACCGTTACCATAAATATTTTTCAATAGGTCACCATGATTTTACACGAGGTTCTCAGGCTATACCCACCAGGAACTGTGCTTACTCGAACTGTTCACGAGGATAGGAAACTTGGGGACCTGACATTACCTGCTGGAGTGCAGGTTTCCTTGCCCATCGTTTTGGTTCACCATGACTCTAAACTCTGGGGTGATGATGCAAACGAGTTCAATCCAGCAAGGTTTTCTGAAGGAATTTCAAAGGTAACAAATGGTAAAGTTTCATTTTTTCCATTTGGTTGGGGTCCTAGAATATGCATTGGGCAAAATTTTGCCATGGTGGAAGCAAAGATGGCTCTGTCAATCATTCTGCAACATTTCTCCTTTGAACTTTCTCCAGCTTATGCTCATGCTCCAAGCGTTGTACGCACTCTTCAGCCACAATATGGTGCTCAACTCATTCTACGTAAACTGTGATATATGTTGGATATATTAACAATATAATCTAATAGTATATTCGCGTACAAGTCCACTAATAGAAAACATGTTTATTTGGGTCCATATGGACTAGAGCACAATAACTTGTATTATCTATAGGGTTTCTTAAGTTGGAGGTAACACTGTTGAGTATTCCAAATTTGATGTCTCTTGGTGTAATACTTCAAACACTTCTAGATCTTTCTCTCTCAAACTCATTACCTCCAACAATATATACAAAACCAAAAAGGCTCGTATTTTATTATGATGTTTATCACATGGCCCTTGGAAGCTTATGCATGTAAAACTTCTTTTGATACTATCGCATATGTTTGATTTCATTTACACAATTAAACTGAATCACTTAATTAAACGCTTGTTGATCTTCTCACTTCTTATTAAAACAAAACAAAAATGTTCTTTGGGTGTGGGTATGGTATGGTTATGTTTCTCATTCTTATTTTTGTATATAGAATAGTTTGAGCGCCTGAGCATGTCCCATGCTGATAAGACAGCGGATCTGATCAGAAGCTCTAAGAACGAAGGAAGAAGAAATAGAAACAGAAAGTGAAGAAAAATTGCTACTTTCTCTAAATCAAATGCAAAGATCCTACTTTTGTCCTTAGGTGTGGCCAGAAAATTGAGTGCCCCGTTTCTCCAGTTAGCTGTTATGATCAAAAGGATAATTTTCAATGAAATCCGAAAAAAAAAAAAGACTTTTATGCGTAAGGTGAAATCAATTTGTTGGATATATGGAATAATCCGAAAATTTTTACTATGATATTAGTTTAGTTCTAAAATTAAGCCCAAGTGCCTTAAAACAAAAATATTAGTATGACACAAGCTTTAAGATTCAGCTCAAGTGTCTTTTTATTTGTTGTGAATTTTGGTGTCTCCTAGTGTGTGTAGGGAAGTGTAAGGAGGGGTCTTTATATAAAGGGGAAGAAGAAATGAAAGTTGTACGTTGTGGGACTTCGAAGGAAAGTTGGATTTTTTTTTTCAACGTGGATCAGCCATCTTTTGACATCTATATCTAACACTAGAGGAATCAACTCAAAAATCTGAGTGGTTAGATTGAAGTATTACAAAAGAGGAATACACGACCAAATTTAAAGACGATCTAATGATTCAATTGAGAGAGATGACCTTCGAAAAATATTACAGCTCGAAACAGTATCTGTTCTAACAAACAAGTGAGCCATCTTCTGAAATTTATATCTAACATTAGGGGATTTAGCTCAAAAATCGATCCGACCATATTGAAGCATTATAAGAGAGGAACATTAACAAAATTTGAGGATAATCCAACGGTTCAATTGAGAGAAATAACCTTCGAAAAATGGCTTTTGGCTGTAGAATCTTTTAGGAGCACTGTTTCGGTCTTAAATTTTCTAAGCGTGATGTAGATGTCAAAACAACAAAGCCACCGTTAGATGTAAAGAACACTAAGTTAAGATCTTGCTAATTAATGTGCATCCAACGGGCAGGGATGACTCCATTAGCGGTGGTGGTTACACATGAATGAATGAGTTTTACAATGATCATCAGCTGCTAATGTTGAAAATATCACCCCTATAATCTTTCTTTACAAAATATACATGCTAAATGGAAAATATACTATCATAATTCAATCACAACCTTTCCGCTCCTTCTTTGAGTCTATCTTGCCATGACAACCTTCAAAGCAACTTTACAGGTGTCGAGGGACATTCTGCCATATTTCCTATGTGCTTTAATGACTTCTTATTATCCTGAACAGTCGCCAACGATTTCGCATACAGTCAATATTCAGAAATATTAAACATTCAATAATAAATATAAGAAACAAACAAAAAGCTCCTTTATATCTTGCCTTCCCAATCGAGACAGCTCAGGTTCTGCCAGTAGCATATCTTGCAGTGGTTTCACGTCAATTCTTTTATCACCAGAGCCATCGGAACTATAAGAAATGTGATCACTATTTAGTTAAACGACACCACATATTAAAAATGTTTGTGTTTGTATGTCTATAGACATAGGGTTCCTATCTTATGACAACTAATGAGGAAGTGCATGATGTTCATTGGATCTTAAATAAATGGTCAAGACTAAATTAGGGTAGCCTAAGGTGTATAACTAGATGTACTCAACTGCCCAAGCAGATGCTAAGCTACAGATTAAATTACTAAATTGAATTCATTATCAATTTCATTGACAGATCAGTTAACCTTGTATGAGAAAACCAATAATGAACATCCATCTAATAGCTTAAACTTTTGGAAAAGTTGGTATTTGATATAGTATTTGTTAAAAATCAATTCAACCCAAAAGTTAAAGCTGTTAGGTAAAGCTACAATAATGGTTTTATATATAATTCTGTTGAATATCATAGATACAAGAGGAAATGATAGTAATCCTTGTTGTATAAAACTACACAACATTGGTGCTATTATATAGCAAACCAATTGAAGAATACAAAGAGACACACTCAATGTGGGATTTCTACACTATTAACACTAACACTCTTAACACTCCCCCTCAAGCTGTAGCATATAGATCATATGCTACAAGCTTGATACATAAATAATACTCCCATTAGGAACCAAAAACAACAATGCTACATCAACGAAATGAAATGACTAAGTACAACAAATCAACTGGAATGACCATCAGTCTGAAGAGCTGATAAAGAGACAGTGCTAGAATGGACATCAGATCATGGATGGTGCCGGAATTATCATCGGCAAAGACAACTGAGCTGACCAGGATATCAGCATCAAGATCCCTCTCAGACATTTCATTTAACAGTTGGTGAGCAGCCGTGGTTTCCCCTTGACTATGCTACAAGCTTATTGCAAGAAAGACCAAGTAACATAACATCAAAATAAATCTCCTAAATGAGAAACCAAAAATCAACAATGTGCTAAAAATGGCGTCAAAATGAACATCAACATGGAATATGCCGGAATGATCATCGGCAAAGACAATTGTGCCGGAAAGACCATCAGCAACATGGACGGTGCTCCCCCTCAAGAGGAACTTCTAAACAGTGCCGGAATTATCATCGGCAAAGACAATTGTGCTGGAATGACCATCAGCAACATGGACAGTGCTCCCCCTCAAGAGGAACTTCTAAACAGTGCCGGAATTATCATCGACAAAGACAATTGTGCTGGAATGACCATCAACAACATGGACAGTGCTCCCCCTCAAAAGGAACTTCTAAACAGTGCCGGAATTATCATCGGCAAAGACAATTGTGCTGGAATGACCATCAACAACATGGACAGTGCTCCCCCTCAAGAGGAACTTCGGTGTCGGAATTAACATCAGCGGAGACAACATCAGCAACTTGGACAGTGCTCCCCCTCAAGATGGATGATGAATAGTATAAATACTCCATATTGGGAAGAAAGAAGATTAAAGAAAAACAAAGCTTCGCGGAATCGGAAAAGTCGTCGGAGACGGTGGTGGATCGCCGAAAAAGTCGCCGGAAGTCATCGGAAAAGTCGCCGGAGACGGCTGTCAACGATGGACGACGCGGTCAACGGTGGTCGGTCAACGACAACGGTGGTCAACCCAACAACTTCCCAAGGATCATTCTTTTCTGATGTGACAGATCAGTCTAAGCTGCAGTCACAGAGCATACTAAGAAAAACCCGAAAAAGAAATAGCAACGGGAATCCCTCAAGGAGGGTGGTATCTCTCTATAACCATATTGAAATTATGGAAAATAGAACTAAGTTAAACGGATTAAGATTCCTCTTGTTAGGCTCTGATACCATGTTGAATATCATAGATACAAGAGGAAATGATAGTAATCCTTGTTGTATAAAACTACACAACATTGGTGCTATTATATAGCAAACCAATTGAAGAATACAAAGAGACACACTCAATGTGGGATTTCTACACTATTAACACTAACACTCTTAACAAATTCTAACACACCCCCTCACAAGATAGCCCATTGAGTTTGAAAGGTGGATGATGCATCAGGCCCAGCCTACCTGTTCTAAGAAATTCCACAAAGAAAATGGGCGGCGACGAAGATTGAACTCGGGACACCGAGGCTCTGATATCATATTAAGAACCAATTCAACCCAAAAGCTTAAGCTGTTAGGTGAAGCTACATTAATGGTTTATATTATTCTCTAACAGTATTAAAGCCTTTATATGTGGTCAAGAATTTGATCCTTACCGTCCCATTCTTCATGAAGTTGAATCTCATCAAAATTATATAAAATAATTTAATCATCAGTCATCCCCTTGAATTTGTAAATAGCCAAAATGTGTGCAAAAGTATAATCATTTACCTCCAGTCCCCTTGGACCTCAACAAGATTTCCTATATTCCGTTTATGACATATCAGAAATGCATGAACATGAAGACAGACGTACTAATTCTTACGGTCAGATTTTTAACTCCCCCTCCTAAGTGATATTCATGATCCTCCCCTGCCCTTCCCGATTTAGTATTATGAATTTGCTCAAGTCTTAGGAAAATCCCAATAAAGTAGACAATAAGCAACAGATTCCATAACGAAAGAAATAAAGCTTACCCATAAACACGATCCATAGAAAGTAGCCTGTGGTGAAGTTTGTAGTCACTGCCAACATAAGTCACAATTAGGCTACCTGCATCGGGATGGGGCCAGCTTCTTGAGGTGGGGAACCGGAGTATAAAGGTACCAGGTTCTTGAAATCCTGTGGTACCTTGTAGTGAAGCTTCTGCCTCTTCCTTAGTTATGAATCCTTCTATCCACTTGGGTGATGTGGAATTCCAGATAGGATTTATCCGGTCCCTTGATATTATAAAAGCTACAGGGTACAACCAGCACCACAACTTCTCAAAGTTCTCTTGTGTTAGATATTCTTGACATCCAGCAATCCTTCTCAGAAGCTCTAGGTCCTGCAACAATTACAAAAACTATAATATTTTTGCAGGCTATGTTTCTAGGGTTCTGATACTTATTGTTAGAATATCTTGGGTATTTCCAGTAGGATATCATCTATATATTGTATAAAAAGTTAGGAACGAATATTAGGATTATATACCTGAAATAATTGTATCTTTGAAATTAATGCTGACACTAATATAAAATTATATATAGAGACTGCATTGACAAATACATAATTTCATCATATCACTTATTCTTTGATTTTTAAGTTGGCATCCGAGCAGGTTTCCACCTGTCTGTCCCAACAAAACCGCAACCCACTTCCCAGAGTTGTAACCATTGCTCAACAGTTTCTTCTTCCTTGTCATGCCTCAATACAAGCAAGCTCTCCATTACTCTTTCCAGTAAGTTTCCGTCACAGATCAACTTTCTAGCGACCTGAGAAGTTTCCAATCTGGTCTTGTAATATCAACTTTCTTCGTCATACTCACCAATATCAATGTGCTGTCCATTATGACCAAGAAATTGACCAGATTACACACTTAAAAATCTTGGACCACCTTTATAAAGATTTGGTTTGCAGGGCAAGGGAAATCTGAACATATTACCACAAATCTTACAGATGTTCCAACAGCTAGCCTTACTAACTATAAGAAAATTGATGCACAACTTCTAAGCATTACCTGGCCATCCATTAACAGGGAGACTATTATTTTTTTTTCAACCCTTTGAGAGATGCTATGAGGAATGAGAAGCTCAAAATTGCTACACCAATGACACAATTCTCCATTATCTCTAGTATGATGAATTGCACAAACAATAGGACACTTCATTGCCAAAGCACAATTATTGATGCAAGAATTTGCTACCATGATGCCTCACACTACGGATGAGAAGTAACAAGAATGATTCTTTATGGTCCTCATTTTCTTTGCATTTCCACAAGACTTGGAAGCTGTCTGTCAACAAATTTCGACCAGCATTGATAGTCCCGCATTATCTTATAGAACATTCAATGCCTGTTGAACATCTATGATATGGTTCCACTGGCATCTACTTCTCCAACCATACTAGTGCCAAATTCCTCTATTGTTATCTCTCAAACTAATAATTCTTATAGTGGTAGTGTTTGTGGTCATGGTGGTAGAAGACCTCAACTCTTTATAATAAATTGGGACATTTGTAGGCACGTTGCTGGTGAAACATGGCAAATCAGCATCAACTAATTTATCTCAAACTGAGTTGGTATCATCTGCCACTAGTGTGACCGTCCTTAGTACAAACTACGAGGCTTTTCTTTTCTTTTCTTTATGTCACCCTCGCAGTCCTCGGTTAAACAAATTGGTAACCTGTTACTTGCTTCTCCCAGTCAACTCACAATCGTCTTGGATAGCCAATCTCTCCAAATTCTAGAGAATGGTTTCTCACCTATCCATTTTAGAGTATTTAAATTGTAAGTTTTGTCAATGGGGAAAACGCACACACTTTCTTGGTCGTGTCAATAAAAGAGCTAATGCTCTTTATTTTCTTGTACATTCAAATATATTAGGATAAAGCCAGGTCAATTCTAGTTTTGGGTTCAAATACTTTGCAACCTTTATTGATGACCATTCTTGTTGTACCTGGGTTTTTAGTGAAAAATCGTTGACTTCTTTTAAATATTTCAAAAACTTTTGTGATGAACTTTGTACAAAATTTGGAACCACCATCCATATTTTGCAGTGACAATGTGTAAAAACATGTCTTTTTACTTTCCGAAATTCAAGACAGAATAGAAGATCTTGCATCAAACTACATGTCCTTATACTCCACAACAAAATGGAGTGGGTGAACATAAAAATCGACATTTAATTGAAATAGCCAGGACTTTATTCTTGCATTTGAATGTTCCTCTTCATTTTTGGGGGTGCTACTCTTACATGATGTTATGTAATAAAATGCATACCCTCTTCTACGTTAAATAATAAAATTACTCATACTATATTATTTCCTCGTACACTTGGGAGTCTTGTCTATCCTGTGCCTCCTCTTGTTTTTGTTTGTACCTATTTCATTCATAATCTTATCTCCTGAAAGGACAAGCTCATGGCAAAAGCCTTCGAGTGTGTTTTCCTCAAATACTCTCATCTTCAAAATGGGTATCATTGTTACTCTCGCAATCTTGATCAGTAAGTCAGGTCTGTGATGTCAATTTTTTTATTAGCAACAATTATCTCCTTCACTGGTAGATTATTCTTGGGTCAATAGTATCCTCTCTAATACTCTCTATAATTGTCCTTTCACTTCACTGGTAACTCTAGTCATGAGCTACTCACTGGTTCTTCTTGTCTTCTCATAACTTAACACCTAAATGCATCAAATAGTCCACATCTTGCCCTAAGAAAAGATAAATGATCTACTTGCAAACCTCATTGACTTTATGTTTTTCTTTGTTATAATTGTCTTTCTTCATATAACATACTTTTGTTCCCAATCTTTAATTGGTTTACATTCCTAAAACCAAGGGTGAAACACTACCCCATCCAAGTTGGTACCTTTAAATCTAACAGCATAACAAATCTAGTTCCTAAACTAGCAAGAAAATGTGTTGTTGGTAATCACTAGGTGTTTAATGTTAAAGTTGGTCTAGATGGCTTCATTGATCGATTAAAGGCTAGATTAGTCGCTAAAGATTACACTTAAATCATTGGTCTTAATTACAGCGACATTGTTTCTCCTATTACTAAAATGGCCTCTACTCGGCTTTCCTAGCTAAAGTTGTTCATCGTGTCCTCAATATTAATTGTACATCAATAATGCTTTCGTCCATGGTGATTTACAAGAGGAGGTTTATATGGAGCAAACATCAAACATCTAGTTTTGTTGTTCAAAGGGAATTTGGGTTGGTGTGCAAGCTCTACAAATAATTGTACAACTTAAAACAATCACCTGACGTTTGGATTGACCGCTTCAACACAGCTGGTAAAGACTTTGGCACAATCATTAACTTTTTTCTATTAGCATCAATCTCCTAACTAGTGTATGTTCATGTGGATGGCTTGTTATTATAGTAACCGAGTCGGCATTGAGTCAGCATTGAAAAATTGAAAGAACACTTAATCAAACATTTTCAGACCAAGAATCTTGGTAAGATCTGATAGTATCAAGGTGGCATAGTCAAGACATGTCATTTCCATCTTTAAGAGAAAATATGCTTTAGTCATCTTGGAATAAACGAGCAAGTGCAAACCCATTGATTCACCTATAAATCTTAATGTCAAACTTCTACAAGATAAGGAGGGCCATTATCCAATCCTTGTCGTTGTCAAAGTTTAGCTAAAAAATTAACTTACCACACAGTAACTCTTAATGTGACTCTCACTAGGATGCTATTGTTAGAATATGATAATTATTGATGCTCAGAAATAATAAACAAACACAAAGAGAAAATAAAAATGGAACAAAATTGTATTGATGAACCGAAGTTCTTACAGAACAAGACTTGTACATGCTATTAAAAGAATTGTATTCATGCCCCCTGGAATGTGTGAGTTAATTATGAAGGTGTTGATCCCCTGTGGTTGCACCTATGATACAACCTAGTAATGGGTGGTACACTAACAATGACAATTTGCATAACCATACTTATTGAAATAAGTGGATCCAGTGGGATCCCGGGGGAGGGTTTTCACATGCTACTCCCCACCTTGAGGACAAGATGTATCTTTTGGGGGGAGTATTGTTAGGATACCACCCATTACTATGGTGTATCATAGAGAGTGGGTTTCGATTACTTAGGGAAGGGGACTATAAGAAGGATGGGGAGGAGAGGTTTTGCATCTTGGGAATTAACTTGGAATTGGGCTGGGAGGGTACTGAGTCTCTCGAATACTTAGATATCTGTCATGGTTCTTGTTTCTTTTAATTTTTCATTGTAATAGCATGTACAAGTCTTGTTCTGTCAGAACTTCTAGTTCATCAATACAATTTTGTTTCATTTTATTTTCTTTCTGTGTTTCTTTATTATTTCTGAGTATCAATCTTTATCAATTGGTATCAGAGCTCCTAATCCAAGAGCACTGAAACCAAAAAAAAGACTGAGTATAAATGACAGGTGCAGCTATCTCCCAAGTCCAGTCTCCTCTTTCCCCATGCCTTCCCCTGCCTTTTATTCCTTCTAACCACCTTAGCCACCTCAGCAACCAACTTGCTTCTCTCTTCTAACAAACTCACTCCTCTGGAATATTCTAAATAGTTGAGTCATCATTCTGCCATAATCTTCTATAAGCCTAGCATACTTTAATAGGAATCCTATCAGAATAATTTGATACATCAAAGAAGCACCAAGGAATAGGATAATGACCAAAGATATAAGACTCGGGCAGTATTGTATTTATAGCATTTTACTGTTTCAAGAACCAGAAACTGATGTATTGGTGCCCCTGTAATGTAATGCTAATTATACGACTCTTCAGGTGCACAAATGATTTATAAATAGCAGCAACTTTCATATAACAAATTAAAGAGGTAGTAACTTTCATAAAACATGACAATAACTTTACTTCAAGATGCAAAACATAGAAATAGGACCTGATGTGAGAGAGATCTTGAACTACATGAAGCAATCTTCATGAATTGCTCTTCAATCTCATAGACCGCACTCTCCCAAGGAATGTGGTAGTTGTTTGGAGACATCACCTTCCAAAGATTAGTTCCATCTTCTATCAATCTCTTGGTAATTAATATTTGATTTCTGATTTAAAAACAGAAAAATACTTAAAAAAGAGGATACATGCTAGGTAATTGCATTAAATACACAATTGATTATATTCAATAATCCTTGAAGAAAATTAGTGCATTTTGTTCTAAGAGCGAAATAATGATAGAAGGGTGTGGTAATAAAATGTGTTCCCCAGAATGTTCAATAGGTTCAGATATCAAGGGCCTGTTCGATTGTGTTTAGCTTTTCTTGTTCTTAAAAGTAAACTAATTTATAGAATAGTTAATGAAATAAGTATTTTCTGTGGTTTTTTAGTTTTGAAAGTTAAAAGTCAAAATACAAAACAAAACAACTGAGATCAATGTTTTGAAACTCGGATCGGTCATCAACTCGGTCAAGATACTGGGTAACTGGGTCATTGCTTCAACCGGGTTCAACTGGATATATTGTTCACATATTAAAAAAATTAAATATATTACTTATATTAAAAATTCACAGAAGAAAACTATCAATAATGGATTTAACTACTTTTTCTTGGACATAGCAAAAGTTTTGGGCCCAATCAAATTATTTAATCCCTAAAACCTAGAGTTGAGAGCCCATTGGGCTGTATTTCAGAGGGCCAACTTTAGGCCTACTAAAATATGAAGGCACGAGGCATGTCATCGTATTAAACTTTGCTCTGGTTTGTGTGGTTAACATTAAAGAAAAGTGAAACCTAGAGAAAGAGAGAGAATGTCGTCAACGGTGCTGGAAGGGACTCAAGCAGCACACGAGGAGGTGGAGCGGCTGATAGTGAAGGACCTCCAGAATGAGCCTACCTCAAACAAATACCGTTTGTTTCAGAGCCACCGTGTGGGAAACATGATCGACACTATTACCTCCACCACTGAAAAGCTTGTGAATTGCTCATTAGGTTTTCCATTATTTGAGAGGAGGGAGAAATCGAGGCAATACTGATCAGGAATTATAAATCAAAATGAGCTTGACTCGCCAGGTTTCGTTTAACCCACTGAGTCATCGAGACTCGTCCGGGTCAACCGGTCTAAACCGGGTCAAGAGCATGGCCGATCCAAATACTACTCAAACTGGTGCCCTCACCGGGTCACCGAAACCCGAGTCAACCCAGTCGGGTCGATCTCAGTTTTAAAACACTAACTGAGATATGTTCCCTAAATTTTATTCTAAAAACTAAAAAACAGTAATGATTTTTAGAACTATTTTTATAAAACATACCTTATCAAACAAAAAAATTTTTGTTCTGGAAATCAAAAAATTGTTTTTGAAAACAGAATTCAAACAAGCCCCAAGTTGCTGTTAGATATTGTTAGAGAGAATGCAACAAATGCATTCACTCACGAGCATTCACGTATTAACTTAAGCTTTTAGGAAGTTGGTCATTGACATTGTATTAGAGCCTCAATGGCTAACTACATGTTTGGATTTGCATTTCAATACCTCAATCGCACATTCAAACACCAGAAACACGATTTTGTTAAAAAAAAATGTTTGGTTATTTTCCACTAAAATAAAGTAGGCTCCTAAATGCACGTTTGACTATAAGTGAAAAAATGTAGCATTTGTGATGGGTTGAGAATTTCCTATTAAGTTTTCTACAAACTTACTTTTGAGATAAAAGATTCACTTCACTACAAACCCACTTTTAACCAAAACCATTTTGCAAAATCAAGATCATCTAAATCATATTTGCAAGTGCTCACTCAAGACACACTTTGGGTGTGCATGACAATCATTCTATTCCTTGGCACTGTTTCTGAAAAAAAACAATTTTTTTCTATTTCTGTGCCTTGGAACAGTTTCTAAGAACAAAAATGTGTTTGATAACATGTTTTATTCTTATTCTGAAAATGAAAATTGCATTTGATAACACAATATATAATAATAGAATAAAAAATCATTCCTGTAAAGCATAAAAAATTTAGGGTCATCATTTTCCTTTTCATATAATGTGGTGGTGGTGGTGGAGGTGACGGCGGTGGTGGTAGACTGGCAGTAGTGGTAGAGTGGTGATGGTAATGGTGGTAATGGCATGTTGGTGGTGGTGACTACAGTGTCTGCGACGGTGTGATGGTGGCGGCGGTAGCGGTAGTAATGGTGGTGGCGGTGGTGTGGTGATGGTAATGGTGGTGGTGACGACTGTGGCTGCGGCGATGATGATGGTAATGGTGGCATGGTGGTGGCGGCAGTGGTGGTGGTGGTGGTGGTGATAGCAGTGACGATGGTTGTGGCGGTAGCATGTTGATGTTAGTGGTGGTGGTAGCATGGTGGTGATGGTGATGACAGTAGCTGTGGCGATGGTGGTGGTAATGGTGGTGGTGGTAATGGTGGTGATGGTGGTGGCTGCGGCGATAGTGGTGATAATCTATGTAGCACCGACACAACACGTGACATGACAGATGACACGATACGACACTCCGACACGTCAATCCTAAAAAAATAGGATTTTGACATGTTGGTACACGTTTTAATATTAAATAATATTTTTAATTTATATAGTGTATATTTCTTCAATAATTTAACAAAAAAATGAAACTAAATTAATAATACCCATCAACATGCTATCTTTCAACTTTCCTTTCCAAACCAAAACCACATAGAAAAATTGGTTCAAAGTGGGAATCTAAGGTGTTACATAAAGGGACAAAAAAAGGGGGGGAAAAAAACAAAATCTGATGTAACCAATGGCAACAACAGCAAAAATTCACTGACACCCAATACCGAGAATAATAGTAACATTCTTCACAAAAGGCAAAAACATAAACTAAAAGAAAATGAACCAAATCTAAAATTATTTACTGAATACACTGTAAAATAAAAGAACATCAAGAACACAATCAAACGTTATAAAAGGTGGAAGCTTTAATAAAAAAACAGGAACTGGGAAGAGAGAGAGAGGTCATATCAGAGAGATCAGATCAGATTAGAGAGAGAGAGATTAGAGAAGGAGACACACCAAGAGCGTAAAAGGAATGACAACGATGGTGCTGAGATGATCTATTATCTACTTAAGGGGAAAAAATTGATATGATCAGGTGGAAGCTTTATTAATATATTTTAATTTTTAAAAGAATAATTTTTTTTTAAAAAAAACAATATTTTTACGAAAATGCCATTTGACCATGTCGGAACGTGTGAGACACGGTCAAATTCGCGTGTCGAAATGGTCAATGTGTCGGGAATGTTGACTGCGGGTCGGACACCGTGTCGGACATGACACTCCCTGTTTTTTGGAGTGTCTGTGCTTTTTGGATGGTAATGGTAGCGATTATGGTGGTGGCGGTGGTAGTGGTGGTGGTGGCAGTAGCATGGTAATGGTAGTGGTGGTGGTTACGACAGTGGCTGCGACGATAGTAGTGGTAATGGTGACGATGGTGGTGGTGGTGGTGGCGGCGGTGGCGTGGTGATTGTGGCGGTGGTGGTAGTGATGGTGGTGGTGACGGTGATGGTAGCGACATGGTGGTAGGGATTGTGGCAATGGCATCGTGGTGGCGGTGGTGATACGACGACAGTCGCGACAATGGTGGCGGTGGTCATATCGGGATGGTGGTGGTGGTGATGATGGAGAGTGATTGAGAGAGACAAGTGTTTCTCATTTTTTGCCCGGGAACAAAAAAGTGAAAAAATGTTTATTCTTTTTTCTGTACCCCTGCACAGAAATTGACCGGTTCATTCTCGAGAACATAAAAATAAACCGAATTTTGTCAAATACTGTTTCTATCCATTTCTGTTCCCAGGAACAAAAATTGAAAAAAAAAAAAAAAAAAACTGATTCTGAGAAGTTTGTCATGCACACCCTTAGTTGTCAGGAGTTTATTCTTGCTCCTTCTTTCCCCACCCCGAATTCTTCTAAATAAAAGTTGAATTCTAGGACAGTGCAAATTGGGCCTTTGCATTGTCTTTACTTCAAGTCTAAAGGACTCTTGCATAGTGGTGTGTGTTCAGAAATGAAATGAAGTCATTCATGAGCTTTCACTAAGCTTAAGCCTTAAAATAGTTAAACCTTGACAGTTATCATATGCAGTACTAATGTCACTTGGAAAGATAAATACTAGTAGCAAGTAGTACATTTGAAACTGAAAAGGCAAAGCAGCTTAACTTCAGAATTGATAAAATGTATGATTTGAAGAATAATTGTCGATAAGCACCTTAGATTATTCCAAACTATCATCCTTAATGGGGTACTAGTGCAAGCATATACCTGCTGCAAGAAAAATCACCTACCCATGGTGTGAACATCCTGAATAGATTGACACATTATGAGCCAACTCCGAAATTTCTTTTTTAGAAGCAGACGTAGCAATTTCCTTAAGCATGTGAGATTTCTCAGCCAAGCCTGCCAGGCAGTATTTGAAAATAGTCATATCAGATATTGGGTATCTTCTGCTTGCCATACTATTTGAAGGTGAATTTCTCTCCCCTATACTCTCTGAATCAGATGGAGAGTCATCTGCTTCATCAATGTTTGCAGGTCTGCCGTCCAAGCTTGTTGTAAACCCATTCTCAACCTAATTTTCAATACGTTTGCAGTGATAGTTAAAAGAGAGAGTGATAGATTCATCTAATTCAAAGAGAGTTGAGACAGATAATTGAAATAGCAAACAGGAATGAATTGATTAAAATACAAAAATAATAGATGTAAACAAAATGTCTGAAACAGCTTTTGGTAAAATATGATATTCAAATTATATGTATGGTGATCACACCTGCCTGTAGGGACTGTGGTACCATGTTTTGCATATTAGCCATAAAATCTATAACCTACTAACTAGGCCATCAACACACATGCCAAGTACCATTGGCCTTTTCTTCTTTTCTTATATATAATTGCATTTATTTATATATAAAAAAATAAAAAATAAACCACTTCCCTTCAAACCCGACTAGCGAGTGTTGGGGTGGAGGAAATCCTTATACGCAGCCTTACCTTTACATAATTGCAAAGAGGCTGTTTCATCTTAAGATAAATTAAATTGAAAAATAAAGCAGGTAACCACCTGATTAGCAGTCCAAGCACGAGAATTGCATTCTTCATCAGGTTGCTCTGAGTTGGGATCAGCCTTTGCTGATATAGATATCTTGTCATGCCCAATTCGAAACCGTTTCATAAGTGGATTGGCTTTTGCTTCAGGACTAGAATGCTGATTTTCCAAGGATACATCATCCATTGCTGAAGATTGTGATAAACTAAGTCGATGAAGAGCAGAAGTTGACTTTTTCCATACCAAAGTAGACAACCGTGTGTTACGGCTCCGGGAGATACATCGAATTGGACGGGAGTATGTCTCAAGAAAAGGATAACTTCCTAATTGTGGAACACAAAATCTGATGAAGAACAACCTGTTATCACACTTGGATGAAAGCTGGAAAATGGAACAATAGTTATTGACAGAGCCAGAGAATACTGGAATGAAATTACAGGCAGATAATTATAGACTGAGAGAGCAGAGGAAACTCATACAGATGCAGATAATTAATTATGAATTTAAGATAAAGTATGCTTATAAAATTGATGTCAAATGACAAGTACTACCAGGTCAAGCAATTTAACATATCAACCCATCATCATTTAGTTCTTAGCAGCACATAGTTCATCACTTAGAACTGTTAGGAAGACCATGGCAGACAGAGTGATATGATTAATAATGATATTTTACTATGAAATTACTTCAGGGTCTATACTAAGAAAAACTTGTTCATTACAGAGAAAACTATACACTATTGGCAGAAAGGACATTGGCGAAGCACAGATATGAAATGAAAGTTGCATAGATCCACCTTGAAGATTGTGCCTCATTGTGTTGCACAAACCAGTATAACTAACAATATGGCCCTCATGTTAGATATCACAAAAACAAATACCTACTCCCTCAAAGAAATTTTACAATTTTTAATATGATAGAATATGATATTTTTAGAGTGCTGTGACCTTATTTTTGTGAACAGTATCATAATAGTTTAATTATGAGGGAGCTAAAAAATGATTAAGTAGTATGATGCAATGATTAAGTACTATGATGCAAGCTACTACCGCATCAAGAATTTATGCAGGCTAGAGGACAAATATTCTCGCACATTGTCACTACGAAAAACACAAATAGGGATTCCAAATTGGAAATGAACTTCTACACAAAAATTCTGATAAATAAGAAACAATTCAGAATGATTTTTCATCAAGTAGACCCAGGTACAACGAGAATAATCATTAGTACAAGTCAAAAATATGTAAATCCCAAACTGGACCTGACCCGACTTGGGCCACAAATATCTTAATGAACAATACAACCAGCAAAGGAAGAACGTGTATTTTTCCTGTTGACCAGACTCACAATCCAAAGACTCTAAAGTAGAAAGATGAGGGACCATTTTTTGGAGTTTGCATAGACACTTGGATGTCCATGACAACTGTGAATGAGGTCTAGACAACCGGTCATAGTACACAACATAGGGGAACTAGGCCCAACGAGATGGTAAAGTCTTCATGACTCACTACCGACTCCAATCATCCTTCCAAGACCCACATTCTGCAAAAATGCAGAGTCTTTAGTGAAGGTAATGGAACAATAAAGAGAACGAATGAGTTGACTAATAAATATTAAGTTAAAAAGGGCAGTCAAGGACATAAAGTACCGATGTTAGAGGTAAAGAAGGACATGGTTGCCTTTGTCCAACACCAGAAACAATTGTGTTGGTACCATTAGCAAGGGTAACTAAAGGAAGTTTGTCAAAGTAAGAAATGTGAGAAGATCCTTATTACCACAAATGATTAGAAGCACCGAAGTCAATGATCCACGATCCAAGAGATAGTTCAAGGAAGCGAGCAATATAATTGCCAGTTTATGAGAAGGCATTAAAGCAATGAAAGGCTTCACAACGTGCACTCAGAATGGCCACAGTAAGAGTAGGGGATGCTAGCTCATTGTGACTGTCATACAACCAACCCTCCCAAACACTTAGTTGTAGGATGAAGGCACATGAATGGTTCTATTATATCTCTTAACACCCCTATTTTTGGGCTTTGAAGTGTAGATAATACACAAGCCCATTTTTTATTTTTTTGGTTACCTTGTGGTCAAATTCAATTTTCTTTTTTTTATTATAAGAACAGGGGCGATAGAATCGAACTTTGCACCACTTGGCCATAGACTCTGGTACAATATCGGATAATTAACTGCCCAAAAACTTAAGTTGTTTGGCAAAGGCACATGAATAATTTTATTATATCTCTAAACACTGAGCAAGATTACCCAAAGTAGGTTTCTTATGTTTCGCCTAGCAACGTTCCTCTAAATGTCCCAACTTATGATAGAAAGAGCATCGAGGTCTATTACCACTATGACCACAACTACTCTCGCATGAAAAAAGATCATAGTCTCCCATTGAGACTTCTTACTGTAAGAACCCGCACCGTTAATTAAGGAATTTAATTAATAAATTATGAGAAAATAGGAAATGATTCCATAATTGACCCTAATAATTATTATGAGGCTTTAATAATTATAGTAAGTGAGTAATAATGCTAAAAGTCGCTTTTCGGAAGAAAAGTGCAGATACCGGTTCTGCTAGTCGGTATAAATGAGTACCGAAAAAGTGTCCCGGAAAATTAAAGTAAGTGCATGATAATTACTAGAATGATATGTAGGACTTGTAAAACGAGTTTCAAGTCCAAATAATGAGAACTAGTGCTAGAAACCGGTACTGGCTTGGAAAAGCGCGTACCGGAAAGATGCTCAGAAAATTATAAGAAAAATATGATAAATCTTAGAAAATTATGTAGTTTCATAATCCAAAGTTTGGGATTAAAATGCTAAGCGTAGCAATTAAAGTTAATACTGTGTGTTAATCTTTAAGTGGGCTATATATACCCTTATTAAGGGCACAAAACCCTAGAAAACAGTTTCTCTACGCGGGTGAGGGGCTGGTCAGCTGCTGGTTCCACTGTTACATTGCTTCACCACCATTTTGTGAGCTTTGTGACCTCTCTTCCTCCTTTTCTCTTCACTTTGTACCTTGGGTGAGTGGGAGAGATCATTGTGAGTGTGAAAGGAGCTCTTTTCCTGAGTGTGGAGGCTGTTTGGAGTCTGGGCTGCCTTGTGGGAGTGTGTGAGCTTCTTCCTTGAGTTGTTGGAGCTCCAAGGAGCAACCTTTGTGAAGAAAGGACCCTCCTTGGTGTGTATTTTCGTGTTCTATGAGAGACAGAACCTTGGAGCTGTTGTGTGAGCTCCAAGAGCACCCTTTTCTGAGTTTGAGCTTTGGTAAGCTTCATCACCTTTGATCTTGAGTCTTTAAGCTTAAAAATGGAACCTTGATGCATGTAAAGGTTAAAAAATGATAACTTAACGTTGGGTAATGTCAAACACGCCCAGAAATGTATGTTTGGGTGTTTAAAATCAGTAAAGACCCAACCTTGGAAGGATATCTTCACGGAATGCAGTTTCTGCATTCTGTCGTGAAATATCTGGATATGTACCCGAGCAATATCCGGATATAGGATTCTGGATATCCGGATATTGGATATCCGGATATGCACAGTGAGATATCCGGATATTGAATATCCGGATATGATCCCGAGGAATATCCGGATATTCTGGGATTTCGAAGAACAGTAGCTGTGCTGTGAGGACAGTAGGCTATTGGGGGTTTGTGGACCCTAGATTGATGAAGTTGAACTTCTGTTTTAATTAAACTAAGTCAGAATCAAGTGATTAAGGGCTTATGGCTTGGTGAGAAGCCTTAAGACATAAAGCGTAATGAAAAGGCGTTGTCTTTAATTTGTATGCATGTAGTACATGTTATTGATTTATATTTGGTCCATATCAGATTGTGATCTGCTGTGATTGGACTTTGAGCTTGTGGCATTGGATAGCTAGCTTAGAGGTAAGCTTTCGTGTCCTCGGTTTAGCCATGTTGTGGTTCCACCATGTCCCATGGGGGTATGGTTTATGCATGCTGTGTACATGCTTTTGGATATTTGATATGTTGATTGAACTTTACATGTAATGGCTTTTAATATGCATGTGTTGTTTCATCTTGACGGGAAGCCTGAGTATGTAGCGCCATACAAGACGGTGTATTGGGGTGAATGCAAGTGGTACTTGCACGGTGTGTAGGTGATAGACGTATACCTGCACTGTCTCTGGCCAGTAGATTAGTATTGACACACATGGCATGATTATCTGCTGCATTGCATTGTTTTGAGCTTGGGGTGGAAGATCCTTGAGGACTCACTGACTTACTGAGATTTCTAGATTAGAGATCTTACCCCTCGTTTGGGGAATGCTTATTTCAGGATCAGGTAGTATGGGTACTGATGCCTCAGGCGGCAGGAGGCCGGAGCTTAGCTGATTATGTTTTACTGCTTTATGTTAGCATGACTGGATTTGGATGCTGTTTATGTTTTCCGCTAATTATGATATGTTGTTGCTGAGACTAATGATGGGCATGTTGCCTTATTTGAGTGAGCATGGGGATTGTCCATGACACTTTCTGTTAGTACTTTTAGATTGGAGTTGTATAAACTGTTAGATGGTCCGGTCTACATTGTTGTAGTTCCGTGACTAGAGCCACACTTATATTATCTATGCTATGAGGTATTTCAGTTAGCTGTTTTATTGCAATTACATACAGGCGATGTTTTATTAATTGATTATTAAGCAAGTTGGTAATGTTAATGGCATCATAATTGAAAAGAAAAAGTAATTCCGCATTTTTAATTAAGCGCAGCTTAATACGATATTATGATAACATTACCGGTTATATACGGGGTGTTACACTTACCAGACCAGAGGAAGGAATTGAAAATGCCAAAGGGGCCTCTCAACCAAGAAGGATCAGACCTGGATGGATTTGGTTTGGAGTACCAGACAAGCACCGGATATGTCAGAAATGCAGGAAAGTCATCGAAAAGTGGACCAGCAGCAAGTGCAAAACCGAGAATTTTTGGAAAGGAGGAGACGACCAGGTCTGCAGCTAGTCAGAGCATGGTGGCACATCGATGCGCTCTCACGCGTACGGCAAATCTCTACGACTGTAGAGTGGGGTAGCACGTGGTGGCACGTGTGAAGGTTTCCAGTCACCGGACTTGCACAAGTAGACAAATCTAAAGGAGGTGAACTAAATCAAAGGGTCACCAAAAAAATTATGTAGCAGCGGATAATGGTGGTTATGGCCGGAGACGTGGCGACATGTGGTGCAGGAAGGACGACGGCCACTCGCAATGGGCACAACGGGAATAGGATTAGCGTTTTGCGAAAGCGGAGTCTCCCATATCAGAAGCTCTAATAATCTGAAATTTGAGTGAAAATTGTGTCTATTCAGACCACACGCACTCTAAATATGTTGATGTGAGAATCAATTCCAACAATTACAGCTCAACTAATTGCTCCTAATCAGATACAATCAGGTGCCAATTAGAGATAATAACAAAATTCTAACATGTTTTATTAAGGTGCCTATATATGTTGAGAAAAGTGTGTGTCATTTTAAATGACACAAGTTGTGTCATTTCATAGACACAAAGGAGTAGCACCCACACCTTTATTTATTTATTTTTTGTCTTTATTTTTTTTAGTGGGACCCACACCTCTTTGTGTCTATAGAATGACACAACTTGTGTCATTTAAAATGACACATACTTTTCCCATATATGTTATGCACAATAGAAAAAATAAAGGCAATATTTGAAATAATGGTAAATGGTATGAGGAAGAATAATTGTCCAACCCATTGCTTATAATGATGGCCATTATGTTATTTTCCAACTAAAAATTTGCTTCTCCTAGAATTATCAAATAGTAGATAGGGCAAGCAGACGGCATGGCAAACATTCCATCAGAAGAGATTGCATAAGCCAACTTTTGTAGGTGGTATCTTTACCTGAGATATCTTGAGCTTAAATGATGCACGCCCCAATAAAAGTTTACTTGGTCTTTCAGAAGAAGAAAACTCAATTCCATCATAGCTAGCCAAAAGGGGTGCTTCTTCATCACTTGTATTCTCCACTGGTGCTCCCGTGTCAGCATACAAAAGTGAAGCAAAAACCTGCAAAAATCAGCAAAGGTGATGTGAAAATTACACATCCTACCTCCTTTCCAAGTAGAGAGCATTAACTTGAGCATTACTAAAGCCATATAAACCTCATTCTCCTTATCTACAGGCTGTCCAAAGGCATCTGATAGAACAACGTCCAAAGAGAAGTTCCTACGACATGATGCCTGTGCCAAATTATGCAAAGCCAAAGTTGACATTAAAGTTTTAACCAAAAGGGAAAGTTAGCACAGGACTTAATTTGTAGTTTGTACAGTCCTAGGGATCACAATAAGAATGAAGAGAGTATACATTAATAGTTGCATTATCAGAAATAGAACAATCTCTATGCAAGTACAACGCAACAAGTAGCTGATGCAGTCAAGCTACATGACCAGATAATTGCAGCAAAAATGGTAAATATTTCTTTTATCTCACAGGAAAATATCATTATTGCGTATACACATGGATGGGAACCACGAAAATTGAGATTAGTAAATAAAAAATCTCTACGTTACTTATATTGTCATGTGAATTTAGCAACTATAGAGAATTTTTTACCTCTGGCAAATTAGGTTCGCAAAGCATACACTCCAGCTGATGCTTAATAAGTATAAAATAAAAAAATCACAGCAATCAGCATGCTTCTCTCCATCATCTTTTTTTTATTGTAACTAAATTATTTGACTCAACCACTAAACTGCAGACTTTCATATATAGGGTAGGATTATAACCTTTAAAATGACAAACATAAACTCTATCACATATTTCCAAAATTAAACTCCAACAGAAAATGGAAGGCTCATTCTGTGCTTTCTTTTTATGATTCATAAAAATGAACACATAAATAGATAAGTAGGTTGTCTTGTGTCATGAGTCAACTTCCCTATAAGCTTTAAGCTGTTAGATGACTATACATGAATAGTTTTATATTATATCTCTAACATGCTCCCGCGCATCAAAAAGCCATTGGGATTGAAGCGTGGACAATGCACAATCCCATTAATCTTGGCTGAAAATAAACCTTTAATTAGAAGAGTGGGGGCGGTACAAATCAAACTCTAAATCACTTAATCATAGAGGCTCTAATACCATGTCATGAACCAAATCCTCCTAAGCTTAAACTATTAGGTAAAGACATAGGAGTGGTTTTATACACATATCTAACATCTTGTAAAAACATATTTCTTACCTTGCCACCAACAATGTTCCAAACACCATCGCTTTCTTCTTCAATCTCAGAGGCAGATGATTCATCAATAGATAACTTCAGAGGAGGGTCCTGGAATCAGATAATATAGAGTTGTCAATAAAGGAACTAATAAAGTCTTATGCTGATTCTGAGAATCTAAGAGAATGTCCAAACAAATGAGAAAGTACCATGGGATTTCAACAACCAAAACTACAATCACGAAATCACCTTTAAATGGCAATCCTTGATACAAGAAACAATAGGGAATACTTCAAAATTGTGCACATAACCTTGCACAGTATTTCCATCTCCACCAACATTGGCCAAAGTTATTTTCTTCAAATTACTAGAATTGGATTCCTTATTTAATAAGGAAGACAGAGACCTTTCTCCTGCAATCTCTCCATTAATCTGAAGCTGGATATGATTTGGAGAAACCTGTAATTGCACAAGAAGATAGCAATCTCATAATTTCTCATTAAATAAATTAAGAAAAAGGGAAAGGACTAGTCTATGCAAGTAGCAGCAAGGAAGGTGATCTATAGTTTGTTACAGATGTGCTTTAAGGTAAGGCACAAACTTGGGTAAATTGCAAGCCTTTTTCTTTCTGTTTTTATTATTTCGACTCTAGCTTTTGAATTCCAGAAAGAAAATATAAACATCAATGCCAAACAGAAGAATATACATGCACTAAGGTCAATGCCTTATCATATAATAAGTAGTTTATAGGAGCAAAGCACAGAAGATATCTCAGTGAAGTGAAAGCCATAGACAAAGAAACATATAAAAGAATTGACACAAGCCAATCCTCAAGTAATCATATAAGATACCTCACATCCAACATGAACCCATTTTTCCAAAGGAAACTCAAAATCCACAGTTGCATGTGGAACTTCTGTCCAGGAATTCATATTGCCAGTATCAGGAGCTTCTTCATGTAATAGAAGAACTGGTAAAATATTGATTCTCTTATCATCATTAATAACAAGAAAAGGAGCACTTTCGGAGATATCGGAGTAAACCTGCATACCCAAAGAATTTATTTAGCTATACCTTCGATGGTTAAATAAAAAATACATTAGACATACCCAAAAGGTAACAAAATTATGAAGTGCAACATAGAAGAATTACTACTGGTATGAAATTGGACATGAAGAAATTCAACCTTGAAGAGTTAAGTATGTACAAAAGAGCAGGCATGAAACATTAACTGTACTAACCACAATACAAAGTATCTTTCAGACTAAGAGTACAAGAACTTGAGCCATAATACACATTGAGAATTTGCAAGTTTCTTATTCCTGATTCATATAGTACAGATAACATAAATTGTATGAGATTATTAACACCTCAGTAACCCACAATGAAGGAAAACCACCATTCTAAAATAACTTTTAACACAAAAAAAACCCATCAAACGAAATGCCAAAAACAATAAAGGAGGAAAAATCGAAACTTTAACATTATTCTAGACAACAAAAACCCAGTTTGGCAAAGAAAAAAAAAAAAAAAGGCACCTGCTGGATAATGATAGCAGGGAATGTAGTGGAGTTCATCAAATAAACCCAAAAGCAGAGAGAGAAAGTTCCTTCTTTTCCTTCAATTTCAAATCTTAAATCCTTCAGCAGGGTGTACCCTCCGCCTCCCATTGCATCAGCATCCATGATTTTTCTTTATTCTCTCTCTCTCTCTCTCTCTCTCTCTCTCTCACTTTCTTCTCACTCTCTTGGGTCTTGAGAACTGTGAATTTGTGTTGGTGGTTCCTTTCGCGTGAGACGACTGTTAAACTAACGGTTTGGTTGGTTTTGTTTGCGTATCCCGATTTTAGCTCGAACTCCAACTGGTGGGTTTCGTTTTTTTTTTTTTTGGTAATCAACTGGTGGGTTTCTTCTGCGTCGAGGTTTAGGTTAAAACCGTACACTCGCCAATCATTTAGAAGAAAAGGGAAGACCGTAAACTTAGGCTCGCTGACTTTCTATGTCGTTTTTAATTATACTTATTTGTGAGACCGTTATATTTACCACTTAAATAATTTACAATTACTTACCACCTATTAATTATCTTTAAATTATATCATTTATTAACGACCCACAATCTTCTTATAAAATATTTCAATTTCACATTTTATCATATTTCTCCGTCTCTACGACTTTCCCAGCATTTCCTCCTGCTCCGTCTACAAACATTCTTTAACTATTTAAAGTGCAAGCCAACCGAAAAAATTGTTGGAATCATTTAGTTATCCTTTTTTGCATCATAAACATTTTAGGGTTCAAAAACATTCTCTCACTGCTCCACCTAATTGGTTTGATTCTAAGAAAACTCATCCTTTATCACAGGTTTGGTTAACGCACTAATCTATTTCTGCTTTTCTTTTTCTTTTAAATTTTTGCATTCTTTTGTCCGTGTCTTCCCTTTTTTTCCCTTATGCTCCTTGATAGTTATTACAAAAGGAAATAAACCATGTATTGGGTGTTAGTGCGCTTAATACCTACAGGAAAAGTTTGGATATCGGACTATTTTTTATTTATTTTTGCTAGTTATCTGACTATTTATTTATACAATATGACACTATGGTAGTGAACTTTTCTTCCCAATTTGTGCAACTTTGTTAGTTAAGATGAGATGTATTTTATACTAGGGTTGTTTCAGGAAGGATCTAGGACGACACCTGGACTCCCTTGGCATGAGAGAAAATGCTCTAAGGCCACTTCCATTGCCGTTACCATCCTTGGAAGCCTTATATATATCAGAACAGTGCCCCACAAGGGATCACCTTCATCACATTGCATTCTTATGCCATAAAAGCATTCACTATCTTCAAGTGATTACACACATACACACCCCTAATTCATATGGAAAAAAAGTGTATCATTTTAAATGACACACTTTACATAATTTCACTCTCACAAAAGGTGAGACCCACACATTTAAAACTTTTTTCACTCATTCTCTCTCTCATTATTTATCTCTTTCTCTCACTTAAAATGACACAACTTTGCGTCCTTTAAAATGATACACATTTTTTCCAATTTATATACCATCGGATCATTGGTCTAGGATACTGCGCGTCTCATTGCCAATTATCCTAGCCTTATAATAATCCACATCAGTTAGTTTTGTGATCATTGAATTAACTAAGTTTCTGGATGAATTTATGATTAGTTAATTATGTATTAACATGATAATATGAATAAGGATACAATTCATGCCAAACAAGTCAATTAAGACCCAAATGGAACTTTTAGAAAAGTTTGTGGGTCAAAGTATAAAGGGAAAGGATATTGTGACAACCAAGTTGTGGTACTACCAAGTGACTACCAATCAATTTTACCATTAGATCGATTATATTGATCTAACGGTTATATTTATTTCCATCTTTGTATGGTCATGATTCCCTAAATTTAATACTTTATATTTATTTTCAGCTTTGTATGGTTATGATTTCCCATATTTAATGCTTTCACTTTAAATATGGGGAATCATGACCATACAAAGATGGAAATAAATATAACTGTTGGATCAACATAATCGATCTAACAGTGAGATTGATTGGTAGTCACTTGGTAGTAACACAACTTGATTGTCACAATATCCTTCTCCAAGTATAAATATATATAAGTTTAGGGACTATTTTGCAAATAGGCAAAACTTGGCTTGAACTTAATTTTGATGGTATAATTAAATTGTTTAGAGAATTTGGTGGGCTTAAATTGATCTTAAATTATGTTAATTGTGATTAGAATTAAATACATAATAGGTCAAAGTTTCATGATAAACCAACCAATAGAATTGATTATAGGTCAAATAAAGAAAAAAAGTCAACAAAAACATGTTATAAAACACTTAGGTGTTGTTTGGTTGAGGGTTTCCTATAACTTGTCCATGCAAATTAAAGTGGCAAATTAAGACACCCACGTTTGGTAGGCAGTTTTTCTTAAGTTCCCCATCTATTATATTTCTCTATCATTCTTCATCTGGTGGTAGAAAGCAAGCTATTGGCACTATTAGGAAAGACAAATTGGAGGTGATTTTTTCTCCTTAGATGGGGAAATGGCAAAAGTGGAATCAAAATAAGATCGTAATACCCTCATGTAAAGCATGAAGAAAGAGGTGAAGAAAACGTACTGACATACCTCATGCACAATTGCCTTTAACACAGAGTGTGTTTCTGATATAACTTCTTGCATGAAGAAACTCTATATCTTTTCAGCAAGACCAGTGGTATCCCCTATTAATGCATACGCATCAATTACCTGCATCACCTCTTCTAATGTTACATCATTTATAATATATTTTCAATAATCCAATAGCAAATATCTGCATACATATATACCATAAAATGGGGAAAACAACGAATCATATCAAATGGTGATTACCTGGAGCACATGCTAGCATATTAAAGTGCATAAAACATACAAATAACGAAAAGAAAAGATCAATGTAATGCAGTGTGTTTTCCACAAACTCCAAACCTGGATAACTAGATACACTAGGGTAAGCTTTGAAATCATGTGTTTGGCAATTACTTGAAAAATTATCCGTTTTTAATCCAAAGCTAGTTCGAACAAAATCCTATACAAAACTGGTTTTTATTTAATCAGTTTTCATTTTAACTAGAACATCATTTCTCTTCCGTCCATATATTTATTTGAAATTTACAACAACAAAAAAAATAGATTCACTATCACCAAGGTTCACCAAACAATATTTAATATTAAACTAGTGCAGTAACCAATTTTAATTTGAACCAGATCATCTGTATAGGGATTTATTAAACTAGTTTAATTTGCCGCACAGCCCCTTGAAGCAGAGAAACAAAATTAACATGTATATATGCTTGTTCTAGAAACTAAATACTCAACACATGCTCCATAGAAAGCAAACCAATTTTTGGAAAAAAAATAAACCCACTGTTATATAGCCATCTTCCTTGAATTCCTGACGTACTCCCAACAAAAGAGCATCCAGCTTCTGTAAGGTTCTTCCCAGCCAAACCTACATTAATAGTATGATGGAAAAAACTCAAAGTCTTAAACAGTTAAATACACAAGCACCCTACATTGTCATCAGGATTATGTATGGTAACACATGTACAAGTAATGGATTTAATTACACAAGTTCCTAACACGCAAGGAAAATCTTAAGAATATAGCAGTGCTCAACATATCACGCTAAATCTTTCCGAGTAGTTGTTCAACATTTACCTCCACACCACGACTCATCTCTTGTATTACTGCAAGGTCCGACAAACTATCTAGGAGTTGCAAATATCCATATAGGACTTGAAATGCCTGTATAATGATCAAAATAAAAATAAACATTTTAGAAGATGGCTTACATCCAAAAACAGGGAAAACAATAAGAGAAACTTGATTGTTTTCTGAGTAAATCTGCTTGTTAAAACATATATAGAAGCCTACCTTCCAATAATTCCCTTCCTCTACAAGGGATTCAAGTGTTGATTGCATGTCCAATGCACGTCGAAGTTCAGTCAGGATTGGAAGCATGTCCTATTAATTTTTGCCTCGCTGCTTTTCCCGCCATTCCTACCCTCACTGGATCCATTTTTCCATTTTCTTTTTCGCATTTCTCTCTAATTTACAATTTTTTTATTTTTCCAAAAAATTTAAAAACAGAGATATTTTCGTAATTGTCACTTATTTCCCCATCTATATTTTACCTCAAACTAAACATAGACTTTATAAATCTTACCTAATTTGTCCATCTATATTTTTTACAACCAAACAGCTTTTTTTTACATTTTCCTATCAAACTCACTTTCCAACCATTTTCCTATTAATTACATTTTCCTAGTATTCAAAAAATTTCTCCTCAACCAAACGCCCCTTAAGGGTATCGAAGTCGATTAGCTCTCTTTTCTTTTTCCCTCTCCATCATGTCCCTTTCTTTTCCAAAAACAGGGCCGACTCCATATAAAGTAACAAGCAATCTTAGTATAACCGTTGTTAGTCACTTTTAGGTCAAGTACCTTTCACAAAACCAAACCCCTATTTTAGTTTACTTAGCGAAGCTGTCATTTGACAAAAATATTCTCTTCCCTTCGACCAGTAGTTGTACATGAAGGTTAAAATGAGTGCTTCTATGGTTTGAAGGTTGTAGATGAATCTCTAGGTCATTTGGAGTCCATTGGAGGTATAAAATATTACTTGTAATTGTTAAATTTCATGATGCAAATTAGGTTTCTTGGAATTTTCATGGATTTTCATGGATTTGTTGTTGGATAATTGTTGTTTGTCCATTTGGAGATGAATGAAACATCAAGTAGCTATAAATAAGTTAAAGGATTGGTGATTTTACAAGTATATGGATCGACCATGGTGATGTTAATTATGTAGATGATATGTTTGTTGAGATGTAAATGAGGATTAAGGCATATTGGATGGTATAATGTCGATAGAATCATTTAGTAACCAAAGAAAATGTGTAAAAAGTTAATGAGCCTCAATATGCATGATTCAGCTGTCATCATAGAAATGTGTTTTAGATGTGTTTGATGATATGTTTAGATGGTGTAATGTGTATTTGAGTATGTATATTGTGAATGGATCAACATGTTGGTGAGTAAAGTTTGGAAATGTTCATGAATCCTTCTTGTGTGTCATTTGGCCATGTCAATGAAAAATGACTTAGGATGTTGTTTAAATTCAAGTGAATGTTGTTAAACTTGGAGGAATTGGGATAAAAACTGTATGTTTTCCTTTGGAGAATTCCCATTTAAATAGTATGATACAATCTGATTTCTAGCCTTGAAGTTTGCTAAAAAGCTATAAA